ATCAATGCTTCACTTCTCCTTCAGCGAGGTTCGCATTGTTTGTGTACTGAAGAAGTAGAGATCTTAGCTTTTACAACGTTAGCAAAAAAGTTCTAACGACTGAATTTAAAACCATTTACGCTAAACCGCTTTACTGCGAAAAGTGTGAAAGTTTGATCTCGCCTTATAACGCCATTTTGATGGAAAAAGGCACAGAGGCCATTTGCCACCGCTTTGTCTCCGCACAGCAACACGAAATGAACAACCAACTTACCACGTTTTCACAACAGAGTTGCTCGTGTTTACCTGTGTTCTCACTTAGCATGACTACGATTGATAACTGCTCTTTGACTTTAGGACAAATGAACTATTTCCGTGACAGAAAGAGAAACACTCACATAGTATCATTACTTTAAAATGTGCATGCACCCACATGTACACACATGTCACATATATATGCGCATATATATATATATGCATACAAAACTTTAAAAAATTGTGTTTTATAAATACGGACTGATAGTAGGACTATGGAATGTAAAAAATGACTATCCCTATTAGAAGTTGTTAAAATCATATTGCGCAGATAAGAAAAATGATTTCTCATATGAGTGTTTGTAACAACACTATACTCCGACCGAGAGCTAGTTATTGGAAAAGTTTGTATGACATTTTCGACGTTATGAAAGCCTTCAACAATCTAAAGTTTTGCATGGTCTTTTTATCGTTAGGAAGAACAATCTGCTCTATAAGATTGGCTCGGCTACCAAAGCGACATTCTTTTATTTGATTGCTCCAACAACTTAACTTTTGGATTCGAGAATTTGTACTGAAAAATTTTACCTGGTAGGGTATTCAACATGCTTATTACAAATCATGTCCGTCCAAAGTGAAACCCTAATATAGGTTTGTAAGTTGGGATGAGAAATTGTAAGGATTTGCCTTAAAGCGCTAGGATAACTTGATTTCTAATCACCAAAAAATATCCATTTTCATGGTAGAGCTTTACAAGGTAGGCACGAATAAACCAAATTTTGCTTTCCAGACAGATCTGTAACATTGACTACATCATCGTCTACCTTTCATAATTACAGCACAGTCTTCCTCTGAATCCTCACTAGACCACTTTTCAGTCAGATTTTCGATGTTGGGCCATTTCGATAGGCTGGTCATATAATGAGAAGGACAGATGACAGATGGACATCAAGGACGCTGGAATGAATCCCTCGTTAAACAAGACGTCCTCGGAGCGGTCACCGATTACTGACGTGTTCGTTGCACGGATGGACCGGCTGAATTCTAGCGGACAACGATTGATGGATCTGGACCTTGCAAACTCGCCGCCGCAGTTGAATACCAATATCGTGGATGACTATTGCGAGAGACTGAAACAGATGGAAACCATGCTGAGGCTTGCATGACGAATGAAAATAGGGCATCTAACAAGAAGGATACTAGTCGGAGTGGCGACACAAGAAGAGATGCACACTCGTAGATGCAATTTCAGACGCTGATCCCATATGCTTTCCTATTTGCAAAGCGTTTTTCTGAAAGAAGTTACGAAAGTTTGTCTGTGCTGAAATCAGCCTGTGCACCTCGTCAGTAATTGCTCTACCGCGTCAAATCCAACAACAATAAACAATGGGATATCCTATCATGAAGACATATTTTTATCGATATTCAACTTTGCGCTGCTGTTTTGGGCCAAGTTTGAACTTTTGAGCATATTAATTCTTGTAAATCACTTTTAATAGAGAAAAACGTCTCTTCCTCCAGAAAAGCGCCTTGCAGACATGAAAGGTAGATTTGTCAGCGTTTCAGTACTACAGTATTTACCTCATTCTAAATCACCACTTTGGTGGAGTATCTTTCCCTTGTAAGTATTAGACCACTTTCCAACCAAAATTGTGATTCTGGGCCATTTATCGTCTGACTATCTGAGTACCTATTGTGCAAAGTGATTGTGATATTCTGAGTCAGCATATAAAATAAGTTCGTCAAAAAAATTTAAAGTGTTCTTTAATCCCTGAACTCCAAAAGATCACTCAACTTTAGTAACTCTCTTTTGCTTTTATAGCATTCAATGCAGCAAATTTTCTCGCAGAGAATAATCCATTCTTCCGAATGTTTTACAAATCCTTGCCAAACTATTGATGTTGTGTAATTTTTATGGACACGAAAGAACAGCAAATTTATTCGAATCCAATCATACATAATAACTAGTTCCTCCGTTAACAAATAATAGACGAGCCACACCCTACTAAGTTCTTCAAGAAGTTCTTGGATTTTTTCTGCAAAATTTGAAGCAAAACATGTAATAACAGCCTTTCTTGACCTCTCTCAAGCATACAATGCACGGACCTTCCCAACCCTACCAGTGTAGATATGTTTTTGTTTGGGTGAGTAGTAGCGTTTTGAACTTTGCAGTCTTACGAATAGTAGACTCACCTAGCTGGTATCTTCATTAACGATGTGCCGAACTGAGTCGCGTCTTATTGTCTCGATTAAATACCGAGAATTGTTGATGTCGGAAGCGCTATTCTACGTAAAATGGGTTACCTAAGCTAGAAATTTCGCTTCGCGAACTTGAACTAGAAGACAATGGTGAGTGTGTAGGTATAGTGTTGAGGTAAATTTTTTAATTGTGCAAACCTTATAAGCATCTTGGAAATAAACCATTAATAGAGTGGGACAACCTAATACTTTTAGAATATCGATCCGCTATTCACTTTTGGAGCAGAAACTGAAATATTTATAAAGGATATTTGGATGAGTGAGCTAGTGAGAAATTTCAGATCTCAGGATTGCTCGACTTCGGCGATGTGCACCGCTCATTTCGATTAGTTGATATTGCATCTACAGTACTGTATTTGCATTTGTCTGATAGCCTGCAACAAGGGTAAGTTTGAGGCATTAAGACCAACTTGACTCTTTCTATTACCCTATCCAAATCCTAGGAATGCGTTGTTCTGTCACATCAACTTTTAAAATCTTTTAAATTATGTTATTTGTTTTTAAACTTAAAACTTCCAAATTTTATAGCGTTGAAGTTCTCGCTCGCAACATACTTCAAGGATATCGCCGCATCCGCGACCCACCCCTGTGTAAGGATCTTCTTTTAGCGATGAAAGCTCGATTGTCCTGTTCGCTGATCTATGGACTTCGGTGAATGACGTTATTAGCTAATTTTGTTTATGTTTAAGAGAGAGAGAATACCAAACATGAAAATGATTTTTTTGAAAAGCCATTTGAAGAAATACGGTAGTTCAAGAATCTACAGGAATAACTTTACTAAGAAGGTAATAATAATAATCTTATAGAGAAAAAAGCTTTTGAAGATTTCCGCAAATTTTGAGGCTGCCCAAAATATTACAAACTTTGCGTGTAAGACATTTGTCATGCTGAAACCAAAGGATTCATTTTTGAGTAACCTGAATTGCTAATGATTTGGTGTTATATGGCCCTATGTGCGGTCTGTCCTCGAATTCTGTTCACTTTCCTATATATCTGTTAACTGACAATCGAATTTTAACACATTCACCTGATTAATAAAGATATCTGCGTAGTCAGCATAACTTTCTCAACTCAGAACTTTTAGAACCGCTCGGATTAATTTTCGTGGCGGCAATGCCGAATACATCCTTCGAACTCAATCTAATGGATGGCAAGTCTTAAAGGTCTGCCTTTCCTGTTATTGAAAGTTTAAACACTCCGATTAAAGTTTTTTAGGAGCTGCACAGAATGAGATTGCCTCTAGAAAGCACATTATGATAGTAACTGCGATACTATTGTTTGCTTAACTTTAAGTATGTGAA